ATTATATTTGTGTGTCTGTGTCTGTGTCTGTTTCTGTTCTTGTGCCTGAATCGGTGTTTTTGTTTGTAAATGTGTCTGTAAGTACGTATGTTTTCTATTGGTTCTTGTTCTTATAGTACACGATTAATTTTCTGTATCTGTTTAATCAGTCACATGGATCCTTGAGTGCTTATGTACCTTCATTATACTTTATCTTGGCCTTTAGCTTCACTTATTTAGTATTCTACTCTCCTCGACAGGCGTATAAAACGGCAGTTGATGACGCTGCCCAAGCGGAGTGCAAAAGGAAGTGAACCTTTGCAATACATTAGTAGTATCGCAAAAGGAGCAGATTTGCGGTGTGACGATCCGGACGAAGGTGAAGTTCCTCTTATACTTGCCACTGAGTGGGCTGCTCGCGCAAGATTCGTGCGCACAAAGACTATCAAAGCCATGTCTATCGCCGTGTGGCACGAAGAGTTGAGAATGGCCGAGGTTGTCGCCGCAAGCGGGGCCTTCATTGGGCCTATGGCGCTGCACGCTCGAGGGATGGAACTGTTGACGCCAGAGGAAGCGATGTATCTGGCTGAGAAGCGAGAACTGGAAATATTTGTGGCTGAATCTAAAATACCTCTGTCTTTAGAGCAAGCACGTATTCTACTGCTGCAGAGTGTACCATCACAAATATACAAGGTACTATGATTCTTGTTGATTGTGTAAGCTGTGTTTGAGTGTTACAACGCTTAGGGTGATATTGAATTCACAAACGCTCGATTCCGATTGCAAGACTTAAGTAACAATCGGGGAACCATTTTCCACATTCTCACAGACATATGGGTACCTCAAACGATTAGGTTTTGTGGTGCGACAACACAATGTTGATCGATGGCGTGAAATATCAACTGCCGATAGAGCAAAGGCCTTGTTAGATCCGAGTGCAAAGGATCAACCGAATGACGCCGCTCATAGTTGCGGAAGTACAGATAAAAAACCAGTGGATATGCAAACAAGTTCTCTGGACAAATGCAAAGGTGTACCTCCAGCTGTGTCGACAGAGTCACCAACATTATCGGGGATAGATGCATCGGAAGTATCGTCGGACATAATACCAGAGGAAACACAGAAAGAGATCGGAATCACTTCTCAGCCATCTAGGCCTAATGTCAGTAGTTCAGCCGAAATTAAGGAAGAAGGGGATAGTCAAACCAAAACGACCAAGGCTCGGAATGATAAGCCGGTGCTGGAACCGTTTGAGCTTCCCCTGAGACCTTGCACTGTGTTTCACATGGATGTCTGGATCAAGCCTAGCAGTTTCAAGCGTTCGAGAGCCAGTCGCCCGGACTTTGTAGTCCGATGTATATTGTATGTGCAGGCTTCCCTTCTGAGTTACCGATCGTTTTCAGAATTTCGGACAGGTTATATATCAATTTTGTATTGGTTTGGTCTCAAAACGCCAGCCACCCCGTGACGGTTAAACGGAATATATTGATTTATTATGGGGAGCTCTACTCCATCGTAGTTAGTCTGAACAATGAGCATAGATATAGGGCATGATAGAAGGCACTGCATCCGCGTATTTCTCAGCTGTTTCTCACATTTAAAATTTCACACTTCCAACAACAATACACGCAGATACAACGAGGATTCCGTCTCGCGTGACTTCCTAAAGCAAACCAGGGAATTGTGTGATGGTATCCCAGTTCGTGTGGCGGCGGTAGCCGAAGGGACCGTTATGTTTTTCTCTACTTTATTCAAAGGCGCGCGATTAGAATATGGATCTGCTTAGCTCGCTATATTTCTCGTCAATATATAGCAAGATCACAAATATGCAGAGTGGTAACGGGACCAAATTTACCTGCGGGTATGTGTGTTGGGTGGGTAGGAGCGAATCGACATATAGTACAAATGGTATGTATAAACAGTCTACAACCGAGTAGACCATCGCCAGCATTTCGAAACATGTTATACCTATGCACGTGCCATCACGGGGGGGGCATGAGTCATGGCTTTCTGCTTCTTCTGGGCCTTTTCTCTCTTGCGCTTGCAACAGCATACAAGCGCAAATATTAGTGCGATCGCAATCAGAACGCCAAAGACGATACCCACAATTGCCCCGGCGGACATTGATCCGCCGGATGATATGGAGTCGTTGCTCAACTCAGTGATGGCTGCGTCTCTGAAATCGGTCTCTACACATCCCACGTTGTCGGGCGCACAAGAACATAGGTCGTCGTTAGCGACATAACCGATCATGCATACCTTCTGCCCTGTCTTGACATCGCACACATGAGATGGGCCAGAGACGCACTTCACGCTGCAATCCTCTGTGTAGTAGTTTGCCTTGCACAGCAAATCACCATTCTTATCGCAGGTGGTCGATTCGGTCTGTGTGCACTCTTTATCACACTCATCGCCAAAAAAACCAGCGTGACAAACCTTGTTTCCATCGATATCACAGGAGTACGCCTCTGATTCTTTGCAAACAACTAAGCAATCTGGCAGAACATGGAAACCTTCGCGACAGATATCTTCCCCAGTCGCGCTATCACAGTAGACATTAGTAGAATTACGGCACCCTATTGAGCAGTCCTCACCCCCAAATCCGGGGTTGCATCTCAGTTCACCTTTACCGTTACAGTACATGTTGGGACTGGTAGGCTCGCAGGCGATCTGACAATCGCCGCCGTAGAAGCCGTAAGGGCATGTCAGCTTCACCAGTGCATCCACTGCTGGTGCATCAAATATCTGCCATGACTGGAAATCGTCGAACGAGAAGCACTGCACAGAGGGCTGACCTAGAGCCTCGGGTGCACCCTCGTGATCGTGGAATGGACTGATCTTCATGAAGATGTCTTTGGGTATATCGCTATCGGCCGTAATGTTGACAAAGAAGTCAAAGTCGGCGGTGAGAACGTCTTCCAGCACATCGGTAGCTGAGTTGTACAAATCGCACGCGACAGCGTCATTAACCTCGGGACAACTGCCAGAGGGCTTAGTTCCGATGCACACATGCAGGAAAGGGTTGCACCAGGCACCTCCACTTGCACATCCACCCTGGCACTGCGGTGACGTTAAACTGGGCTGGTTGCACTCGAAGGTTCCAACATCACAGTCACATCTCGAAGTAGTGTAGGAGTTCACCTTCACGAGAATATTACCCGCGATGGAGGATCCTACAAAGGCGGATACTATGGCCGCTGCAAACTTCATAATTATTATAGGCTTGTTACTTTTGGCGTGTGTGTAACTAACTCAGAACTAAGAAGCTATGATTCCGTATAGCATAGGATCCAAGGTCAAATATAAAAAGATTGCAATAAAAAGATCTAAAAATTCTCCTCAGTAAGACGTAAAGCCGTATTTAAGTCCGTAAGGTAGTAAATAGCCGGTCACCCCAGTGGGCCCAGTCCCAGTGTGATGCTCGGCGTGGATACTGGCTTGTGGATACTGGATAGTTGATAGATATATTTTTTGAAAAGTATTGATTATTTGTTAGAAAAACAGAGTTGTCGAACTCCATTTTTGATTGGCCGTACACTTGGAGACAAGAATTCGATGCCTTCTCTGATGACAAAGAATTATATGAGTGCTCGGAGTCAAGACTTTAGAGCATGGACTGTGTCCTGTGACTAAGAGTCTGCTGTGGTTTGTAAAAAGTTTTTATATATTTATTTGATCTGTACTGTGTACAGACTACAGTACATATTGTGATCAATGTGCTGGGCACTGAGATATATGGTCGCCTATCTTTTCAAATATAGGCCTTAAAACGACATACTTAGTAAAAAAATCGTAGTGTAATCCCGTGACTTGTAACTTGCGAAGCTGGGACTTATGAACCTTCGTGTTCTGCCTTTTAAAGCGGCCCGTTCGAATCAATTCCGTATCTGCCGTTCAATTATATTCCTTCATCCCTACGAAGAACAACAACCACAATTCGTGCAATGAATTGTTCGCCCATAAATTAATGCGGACACGTGAATATTATATACTCAAAATTTGGGATATACACACGTGTATGTATCACTTTATTTACATATGTACGTATATATATATACATATATAAGTTTATAAATTTATAAATATGTGTGTGTATGTGTGTGTGTATATGTATACAGATAGGTTCATTCATATTTTGAGTATATGCGTATATATATATATATAAGTAAACATCCATATATATATATATATATATGTATATATGTATATGTATATAGTATACGT